TCAAACATTACTGCAAGAAATGGCCTACTGGCACATATAACAAATTGACATAAGTGACAAATGCGATCACGGAGTGCTTATATTCATACAATAAAAACGTCTAAGATGAGGGGGTCATTATGGGGAAGGAGCCTGACTTTAGAGCTGGACGGGAGATCGCGGTAAGATCTCCCATACCCATGCTCCACCAACGTCCAGCCGAAAGGTCGTAATGACCTTTGGAAGCAGAGCAGGAGGAGGGGGACTCACGAGCCGCTGAGTCCCAGGGAAGAAATCCGGCACCCAGGTCTGCGTCCGGCAGTCCTTGGTGTGCTGAGAGGACTGCGGGAATGTGAAGGAGGAGGTGGAGCTGAGAGGAGGAAAGCCCAGGGAACAAGCTCGAAGGATGCTGGGAGGCCACGGGACTGGCCGCGGGGAAGCCTAGGGTGGAGAGAGACACCGGCCGGCATAGGGGAGTGTATGTAGAGCCGATCTCCCCTCTCTCTCTTCTCTTCCCCCCATCCCTTTCTCATCTCTCTCCTGGTCTCCCTGGTTCTCCCTGTCTCTCCCTGTGTCCTTACTCCCCCCTCCTCTCCTAGTGAAGGAGAATGAACTGAGATCAAAGTGGAATGGAGTGTGAGAGGAGGCAAAGGGACAAAAGGCTGGTCTATGAAGGGGAATTCCTCACCACGGAGACAGTCGAATTAAAGGGGCTCTCTCTTGCAGCCCCCCCCCCCCCCCCTCGAGAAGATCAACAGAAGCCACCCCCCCCCCCCCCCCCCCAGAAGTGGAAAAGTGAAAGTCTAAGGGTGAGTGAGAGTGGCAAATAGTTTTCAAATAAATAACGTTAGTCCCTGTAGGGGGCCCAGGAGGGAGATAGGGGAAAAGAAGAAGGAGAAAATACAAAAAGGAGGAGGAGAATATTAACTCTAGTAGACATCTGAAATATAGTAAAATGAAGAACAAAACAACAAAAGGGAGCGGACCAAAAGCCTCCATCTCAAGTTCAATTAAGAAATATATCCCTGGGCAGGACAATCAGACCCCCGAGAGGCAAAGTGGAACTAAAGAAAAAAATGTGATGGAGAACAGTAGTGGTGGGAGTCCCTGAGGATCCCTGGAAGTATCTAATTGTAGTCAAAACTTGGAAGAAGCAGATATAGAAAAGATAAATGCTTTGGATAACCTGGAAGATAAAGATTCACATTTACCAACTAAAAATAGAAATAGCAGAAATGTTTAAAGGTCTGGAATTATCCCAAAAAAATGAGACGGGAAAGTTACATAAGGAGCTTTCTAGAGTTGAAGAGATGGAAGAGAAAACAAATAAACAGGCTCAAAAGATACAGAACTTAGAAAAAAAATGGTGGAAATGAAAAAGGAACAATGATATCTGCTATCTAAATTGGAAGAACAGGCAAATAAAAATGCAACTTAAGGATACGCGGTTTGCCGGAGATACCCCAAGGAGAAGACCTGAGGGAAACGCTAGAGAACATGTTAAACACGATAACGGACAGATCTGCAGTGGAACCTTATAAAATTGATGGAGCGTACAGAATTGGGAGAATATACCAAGAAGGAGGAAAAGAAAGATCAAGAGATATCATTGCTCAATTCCGATATTATAGGGGAAAAAGAGGAGATCTGGAAGAAGATGAAAGGAAGAGCTACTATAAAGCATGGGGAAATAAATATACAGATATTCGCAGACCTAGCCACAGAGACGTTGTTAAGAAAGAAAATATTAAAGCTATTAGTAGATCAAATGAAGAAGCAGAACGTTCGATACAGGTGGGGGTCCCCAGCATGTTTGATCGGCTGGATAAATGAATGATCGGCAAGATTAAAGTTCCCTGAAGAGCTGAGAAACTTCTGCGAAAGACTTGAGTTGCAGAAAATAGATATTCCTGGGTGGGGTGGGGGGGAGTGAGGGGGCGTTATGGTAGCTCCTCTCTGTTTCTGTTTTTTTGTTTTTTTTTTCTGTAGGACGTTGGGGGAGGGCAATTGGGAAGAGGTGTTCATGATTAGAGCTCCACCCTAAAGTAGAATCAAAAGTGGAAGTAACGCCACAAATGATTCAGAGGCAAAAGAATAGCCTAAAAGGGGAGGGGGGAGGGGATGGGATGGCAGGAGGGGGAGGGGATGGGAGGAGGGGGGGAAGGGAGAAGGATATGGGGGGGTGCTGGGAACTTGAGATTATGCAGGAAAATAGGAGATATATTAATCTGGAGAAATCTTGGAGTACAAAGAAGGTATAGGGAAGAGAGGGAGAGAAAGGAGATGGGGAAAAGAAGGATGAGAGGAGATGAGAAAAAGAGAAGAATGGAAGAGATTCACTTTGTGACATACAATGTTAAAGGTTTAAATAGCCCAGGGAAGAGATTTAAGATATTTAAAGAACTTCAACATAGACTCTCTTCAGTGATATTTCTACAAGAGACATATCTAGTACAAGAAACAAATGTGAAGTTACAGTCCAGATATTATCCAGAGTGGTAATATGCAGATTCCCCAATTAAACGTGCAAAGGGAGTGGCAATAGGATTTGTGAAAAATATAAGGTTTAAGCTGGAAGAGAGATTGGTAGATTCGGAAGGGAGATTCCTGTTCTTGAAAGGAAAACTACAGGAAATAGAATGTACATTAGCAAACATTTATTGCCCGAATAGGAACCCTGAGGTATATTTAAAAAATATTCTGAGGAAATTATTGGATTTCAAAAAAGGGGATTTGGTTGTGGCTGGAGATTTTAATTTTTGTATGGATCCACAAATGGATGTGGCCCCTCCTGTGCTGAGAGATAGTAGTAGATCTCTGAAAAACTTGAAAAAAATGTTTTTTCAATGTCAACTTGTAGATATCTTGAGAATTAAACTTATGAAGGAAAGAGACTACACCTTTTACTCTCGTGCACATGAGATGTATTCTAGATTGGATTACATACTGTTGGACCATAGGCTCTGGTCAAAGTAAATATAGAAGCTATGTCAATTTCTGACCAAGCAATTCTTTGAAGAAAATGACTCTGAGGAAGTGTTGGTAGCTACGGTATTGAAAGCACACACGGTTTATATTAGACATATTTTAATAGCAATAGGAGCAAAAAAGAAGAGGGAAAGAAGAGAAAAAGTAAACACACTCTTAAGGGAACTTTGTTATTTAGAGCTGACACATAAAAATAGAGTAACAAAAGAGATTACGCAGAAGATATTAAATAAAAGAGAAGAATTAAATAACATCCTGGAAGAAGAGAAGAGGAGAGTGTTTAATCAAATGATAACTGAGAGGTATAGATGGGGGGGATAGACCAGGAAAGTATTTAATGAGGGCTCAGAGAAAAAAAAATCTAGGAATTATATTGAGAAAATAAGAGATAATAAAGGAGAGTTTGTTCATTCAACCAAAGATATAGTAAAAGTGTTTAAAGAATATTACAATAAGTTATATAATATTAAGCCCCAGGGTACCATACGAGAAAATGAAGTTAGAGATAAAGAGAGAAGACAGGCATATTTAAAAAAGGCAGGACTACCGAAATTAAGGGAAGAAGAATTAGAATCCCTTGAAACGGCAACAACGCAGGAAGAAATACACCTTGCATTATAAAGTACAGTAGCAGGAAAAAGTCCAGGACCTGATGAATATACAGTGAGATATAATAACAAATATTAAGAAATAAGAAATTCTATTACCTAAATTGAGAATATATATCTTTGGGAGGAGAGATGGAGATGAGAAAGGAATCCCTGCAAGCTCATGTGGTTCTCATACAAAAGGAAGGTAAAGATAATACTCACTGCTCAAGCTATAGACCAATTTCCTTATTAAATATACTTATACTTCTATATCACAACACTTAAACCTATAATATCCCAGAAAAGTAATCTACCTTCACCCTTGAAGGCCAGCTAAACAATATATATGTGACTTTTCTATAAGCAAATACATCAAATAAAATAAAACCAAAAATTATAGATAAAAAAATATATATAAAAAAACTATGAAAATTGTAAAAATTATGTCCAAAGTCCCACCGTGTCCAAAATAAAATCAAAAATCAAAAAAATAGTCCCCACAAGTGTAAAACGAAACACTTAAACTTTTTCTTCTTCTTTCATCACCAAAACCTTCTTAATACTCGCAAATCCTGATATTCATACACCTCAAAAAGAAAAAAACTCGACATAGTGTCATACCTTAAATGATATAGAACACACGTGCCACTCGCTGTGCAGCATGCAAAATATTAACTAAAAGTGTATACTCAAAACAAGTGTCAAAGCACATACAGATAAGTGAAATGACAATATGAGTGAAAACACATTCACATAGGATATGCAATGCAATGTGTGAAAACCACTCCACAAATAACACTGCCAGTGTATAACACCACACCCTATATATATAAAAAGGTGATAACCAAAAACCCAGATCACCACTCTCCAACTCTTATATGGATGGGTACGTTAGGGACACGTGACGTCATACGCATCGACGTTGACCGGAAGTGCGATCGCGGCCATCTTGGAAGTGGGAACATGCGGTTAATGTTTCCCTGAACCTGTTCATGTGTATACTTCTTGTGAGGAGGAGCTGTTACCACGGAATTTTTTATGTGAGTTACCAATAAAGAAGAATATCTTTTATATTGTGACTGGTTTTCTGGAGGAAAGTGGAGGAAGTGACCCTAGTCTTTGGAGAAAATCGATGAGAGGAGAGTGTAACCCAGAGTGGTAATCTGCCCTGCTGTTTCTGCTATAGGGTAATTACCCATCCATATAAGAGTTGGAGAGTGGTGATCTGGGTTTTTGGTTATTAATTTAATTTAGAGGATTAATAGATAGCACAAGTTTGTTTACACATAATGCTTTGAGAGTTTGGGATACTTTACACAAACAAAGGGATGGGAATTTAATTCATTGTTAATGCCCCTAGGATCCACAGAGAATTTTCCTCCAGGTAAAGAGAGTATTACAGGGAAGTGGATAAAGAAGAAAGATGTTCAATTAAAAGATATAATGGTGGGAGAAGAATTGTGTCCACTTAAAGAACTGGGAAGTAAGAGGGATACTGTATATTTACGAGAATGGAGGTATGGTCAACTAAAACATTTTGTAGGTAGTCTCCCAATGCCATTAAGAAAAAAAGAAGACTGGAACCCCTTTGAGCACGTATTAGATACAAGAGGAGATGGGAAGCATGGGATCACTAAAATATATAAAATTCTCACAGGATTAATCACGGCTACAAGGCCACTATTTTAAGAGAAGTGGGAAATGGATTTAGAAGTAATAATTGATGAGAGAAAACAAAAGAAAATATATAGTTTAATTCACGGGAATGTAAATATGAAGGAAACGGAAATTAATTATAAGTGTTTAGTAAGATGGTATATTACACCGAATGTAGTACACAAGATAAGTGGAGATAACTCACCTTTATGTTGGCGGGGATGTGGAGAGAGAGGTACAATGATACACTTATGGTGGGAGTATCACAAAATTCAAGAATACTGGGAGGGCATAGTGAGTATAACTCAGGAAATAACAGAGGTAAATATTCCTAAGGACCCCGAGACTTGCCTTCTTTTTGGTACCGAGTTTTCGGTTAAAAGATATAAATAACTGGATTATTGTATTATCTAAATGCAGCGAAGGGACTGGAGGAGGAAGATAAAATTGAGGTATTTCGCACAAGTTGGGAAGAGTGGGTACAGTTTAAAAAGTCAGAGGCATACCCAGAATATGTGAAATAGGGAAAAGAAGGGAAAGGGGATAATTATAGTACAGTACAATACCAGTAATAGCTAAGGATCAGGATTTCTAGAATTAAGTTAAAAATGCATAATCAAAGGGGGGTAGGATAGCAAAGGGGAGGGGTAAAAGGTCACCGAGAGTAAGGTATTTCTGGGGAGTGTTATGTCAGAAATGTGTAATATATACTGTCTGTTTTATTAGCTTTTGTACATTTTAAAATGGTGATTTGAAAAACAATAAAATATTTAAATTAAAAAAAAAACGTCTCAGATCATATAAAATCATATAATCTTAAAGAACTCTAAAAATATGAACATAAATAGTGAATATAAATAGTTTGTGGCATTACAGGTCACAGAAGTGCCAAGTGATACGTGTTTGTCTTTTTAGCAATATTAATGATTATACATAGTCTGTGGCATTACAGGTCACAGCAATGCCCGGTGATCATGAAACTACAAGGTGCAGCAATACAAGCTGGGATGCACGAGAGTGCTCATGATCCAACATGGGAATCCACCACCTTATATGGATGTGCACTCACCAGAACGCTACTTGTATAATAGCATTAATGCTGATCCTTATGGGGGGGTCTCAGGAAGCAATAAATATGCACTGGACTTCTCCAGGGTCAGGGCTATCCAAAACTAGCAAAGGATCCTCCTAAAGGAAGAAGATCACCACAGGAGATGAAGGTATGGCAATATAGTGTAGTATTTATTGTAAATAGTTGAAAATAATCCACGTGGATACAGCAAAGAGTTAAATACATCACCAAAACCTTCTTAATACTCGCAAATCCTGATATTCATACACCTCAAAAAGAAAAAAACTCGACATAGTGTCATACCTTAAATGATATAGAACACACGTGCCACTCGCTGTGCAGCATGCAAAATATTAACTAAAAGTGTATACTCAAAACAAGTGTCAAAGCACATACAGATAAGTGAAATGACAATATGAGTGAAAAAACACATTCACATAGGATATGCAATGCAATGTGTGAAAACCACTCCACAAATAACACTGCCAGTGTATAACACCACACCCTATATATATAAAAAGGTGATAACCAAAAACCCAGATCACCACTCTCCAACTCTTATATGGATGGGTACGTTAGGGACACGTGACGTCATACGCATCGACGTTGACCGGAAGTGCGATCGCGGCCATCTTGGAAGTGGGAACATGCGGTTAATGTTTCCCTGAACCTGTTCATGTGTATACTTCTTGTGAGGAGGAGCTGTTACCACGGAATTTTTTATGTGAGTTACCAATAAAGAAGAATATCTTTTATATTGTGACTGGTTTTCTGGAGGAAAGTGGAGGAAGTGACCCTAGTCTTTGGAGAAAATCGATGAGAGGAGAGTGTAACCCAGAGTGGTAATCTGCCCTGCTGTTTCTGCTATAGGGTAATTACCCATCCATATAAGAGTTGGAGAGTGGTGATCTGGGTTTTTGATTATCACCTTTTTATATATATAGGGTGTGGTGTTATACACTGGCAGTGTTATTTGTGGAGTGGTTTTCACACATTGCATTGCATATCCTATGTGAATGTGTTTTCACTCATATTGTCATTTCACTTATCTGTATGTGCTTTGACACTTGTTTTGAGTATACACTTTTAGTTAATATTTTGCATGCTGCACAGCGAGTGGCACGTGTGTTCTATATCATTTAAGGTATGACACTATGTCGAGTTTTTTTTTCTTTTTGAGGTGTATGAATATCAGGATTTGCGAGTATTAAGAAGGTTTTGGTGATGAAAGAAGAAGAAAAAGTTTAAGTGTTTCGTTTTACACTTGTGGGGACTATTTTTTGGATTTTTGATTTTATTTTGGACACGGTGGGACTTTGGACATAATTTTTACAATTTTCATAGTTTTTTTATATATATTTTTTTATCTATAATTTTTGGTTTTATTTTATTTGATGTATTTGCTTATAGAAAAGTCACATATATATTGCTTATTAAATATAGACACTAAATTATATGCAAAAGTTTTGGCACGTAGATTGAAGGACTTAATGCCGAGTTGGATACATATAGATCAATTGGGTTTGTTTCTTATATAAAAAAGTAGGAAAGAAAGAACTCTGGCGTTGGCACTTTCGATTGATGCTGAGAATGCATTTGATAGAGTAAATTGGGGATATATGTTAGATACCTTAGAAGTAATAGGTATAGGACCCAGAATGAGAGAATGGATTAGGAAAATTATATAGCCAACCCTCGGCAGCAATAATGGTAAATGGGGAATTATCCGAGTATATTGACATGCAGAATGGAACAAGACAGGGATGTCCTCTGTCCCCATTGTTATATTTCCTATCTTTGGAATCTCTTTTGGCTATAATTAGGAATAATATAGATATAAAAGGAATCTGGGTAGGAGAAATCAAGCATAAGGTGGCAGCTTATGCAGATGACATGTTGTTCTATGTAGGAAACCCGAGGATAACATTACCAAGCCTGATGGAATCTTTAAAAGAATATGGAGAGATGTCAAACTTAAAAATTAACCCAACTAAAACAGAGATCTTAAATATAAACTTTACAAATAGAGAGAAAAAAGTGTTACAGGAGGAATTCCCTTTTATTTGAAGAGAAAGTGATCTAAAATATTTGGGTATAAAACTTACTGTATCTTTAAAGAACTTATATAGATTAAATTATATCCCACTATTAAATGAGATTAAGGATGAAATAAAGAAATTAGGAAGAGGATTTCAGTCATGGATTGGTCGGATAAACTTGATAAAAATGGTAATCGTTCCTAAAATTCTATATAAATTTCAAGTGATGCCAATTAAGCTCCCGGAGGCATATTTTAGAATAATTAAAAAAATTATAACATAATTTATATGGAGAAATAAGAAGCCCAGAATAAACTATGAAATCTTAAGTAGAGATAAAGGAAAAGGCAGATTGGGGGTACCGCATATGAAGAGATACTATAACTCAGTAATATTGGCAAGAATTTTTGATTGGACACATAATGCAAAGGGGAAAAGTTGGGTAAATCTAGAAAATACATTGTCACACGAATTTGGTAGAATCATTTGGTTACCTCCTCAATTTAGAGGATTAATAGATAGCACAAGTTTGTTTACACATAATGCTTTGAGAGTTTGGGATACTTTACACAAACAAAGTGATGGGAATTTAATTCATTGTTAATGCCCCTAGGATCCACAGAGAATTTTCCTCCAGGTAAAGAGAGTATTACAGGGAAGTGGATAAAGAAGAAAGATGTTCAATTAAAAGATATAATGGTGGGAGAAGAATTGTGTCCACTTAAAGAACTGGGAAGTAAGAGGGATACTGTATATTTACGAGAATGGAGGTATGGTCAACTAAAACATTTTGTAGGTAGTCTCCCAATGCCATTAAGAAAAAAAGAAGACTGGAACCCCTTTGAGAACGTATTAGATACAAGAGGAGATGGGAAGCATGGGATCACTAAAAAATATATAAAATTCTCACAGGATTAATCACGGCTACAAGGCAACTATTTTTAGAGAAGTGGGAAATGGATTTAGAAGTAATAATTGATGAGAGAAAACAAAAGAAAATATATAGTTTAATTCACGGGAATGTAAATATGAAGGAAACGGAAATGAATTATAAGTGTTTAGTAAGATGGTATATTACACCGAATGTAGTACACAAGATAAGTGGAGATAACTCACCTTTATGTTGGCGGGGATGTGGAGAGAGAGGTACAATGATACACTTATGGTGGGAGTATCACAAAATTCAAGAATACTGGGAGGGCATAGTGAGTATAACTCAGGAAATAACAGAGGTAAATATTCCTAAGGACCCCGAGACTTGCCTTCTTTTTGGTACCGAGTTTTCGGTTAAAAGATATAAATAACTGGATTATTGTATTATCTAAATGCAGCGAAGGGACTGGAGGAGGAAGATAAAATTGAGGTATTTCGCACAAGTTGGGAAGAGTGGGTACAGTTTTAAAAAGTCAGAGGCATACCCAGAATATGTGAAATAGGGAAAAGAAGGGAAAGGGGGATAATTATAGTACAGTACAATACCAGTAATAGCTAAGGATCAGGATTTCTAGAATGAAGTTAAAAATGCATAATCAAAGGGGGGTAGGATAGCAAAGGGGAGGGGTAAAAGGTCACCGAGAGTAAGGTATTTCTGGGGAGTGTTATGTCAGAAATGTGTAATATATACTGTCTGTTTTATTAGCTTTTGTACATTTTAATATGGTGATTTGAAAAACAACAAAATATTTAAATTAAAAAAAAAAAACGTCTCAGATCATATAAAATCATATAATCTTAAAGAACTCTAAAAATCTGAACATAAATAGTGAATATAAATAGTTTGTGGCATTACAGGTCACAGAAGTGCCAAGTGATACGTGTTTGTCTTTTTAGCAATATTAATGATTATACATAGTCTGTGGCATTACAGGTCACAGCAATGCCCGGTGATCATGAAACTACAAGGTGCAGCAATACAAGCTGGGATGCACGAGAGTGCTCATGATCCAACATGGGAATCCACCACCTTATATGGATGTGCACTCACCAGAACGCTACTTGTATAATAGCATTAATGCTGATCCTTATGGGGGGGTCTCAGGAAGCAATAAATATGCACTGGACTTCTCCAGGGTCAGGGCTATCCAAAACTAGCAAAGGATCCTCCTAAAGGAAGAAGATCACCACAGGAGATGAAGGTATGGCAATATAGTGTAGTATTTATTGTAAATAGTTGAAAATAATCCACGTGGATACAGCAAAGAGTTAAATACATAAAAGCATACCGAGATGGCCACTGCTCCGAACTCCAGCGGCGGCGGCGTGACGTTTGCTGTATCCACGTGGATTATTTTTGTCTCCCTGAAGAAGCAGGCTGCGTCCCGTGAAACGTGTTGGAGCAACTTACAAAGTATTGATCTGGAAAAGGCTATGTTATTTTGCTGTATGTGCCATTAGGAGCAATTAATCCAGCATGAATCTGTGAAAGGTTATGTCAATTTGTTGTATGTGCCAGTAGGCCATTTCTTGCAGTAATGTTTGACAAATTTGTCCCAAGCATGTTTTTTAAACGAAAATGTGTATAAGTTATGTTCCACCATTTTGGTGGCTCATTTTTATTAATACAGTGGTATTTGGATTTTCTATTGTTCAGTATGGTACTATCAAAACCCCATTAGTTTTTTCTAGCTAGGGCCCTATCTGCTGAGTAATCAATTTAATGTTTTTTTCTTTTACAATGGATTTTATTGAAGACAACACAACAACAAAGAAACAGTCAAAAGCAAGATCACTGACACAAAAGAATAAGGTATACAATTCTTCTGATGAGGGACATAACAAATGCATTAAAGTATTGACATGGAGAGAAATGGAGTACATAAACAAAATATATAAAAGGATGGAATGAAACCTTGTAAATTGCGTTAACAGCAAACAAGTAATGACCAATGAGCTAGTAGGCAAGGGCCAAGGATAATCACCAAAATAGTATACAGGGGGTAGGAAATGCTGAGCACAGAGCCTCACTGGATGCACATCGGAACGCTATACCAAAGACTCATGAGAAAGTCCGACAGGTGTATAAAACATTACAGGTAAGATTCTTTAGGGCTATTACAATTAGCGCAAATAACATGAAGACTGACAAAAACAAAGGAAAGAAAGAGAAAAAAAAGAAAAAAGCAAAGAAGGGAGAAACAAGGATAGTAAAGACAAAGAAAGGGCTCCAGGGGATCGCGCCAGAAGAGTCTTATTTCGACAGGAGAGTCTGGTCAAATCTAGATGGTTGAGCCACATCAATCAAGGGACGCCAGATCTGCAAGAACTTTGGGCGGGTGTCTAACAGCATGGCCGTTAGCTTCTCATTAACCATTATAAAATTCATCCGGTTCTTAATGGCTTCGAAGCTAAGAAGAGGGGTTTGCCATAAATTAATGTGAGATTTTAATAGCATTATTGAGTGGTCATACTTTTGTAAGATGTACAGTATGTGCTGATGTGTGCAAGGATATGGGATTGATGTGTGACTAATGTAAAATTAGCAGATAATATAAAAACAAAATACATATATATATATGACAAAGATAAATCATTTCAGAACTTTTTCCACCTTTAATGCAACCTATAAACTGTACAACTCAGTTGAACAAAAAACTGAAATCTTTTAGGTGGAGGCAATAAAAAAAAAAATAAATAAAAAATAACATGGTTGCATAAGTGTGCACACCCTTAAACTAATACTTTGTTGAAGCACATTTTGATTTTATTACAGCACTCAGTCTTTTTGGGTAGGAGTCTATCAGCATGGGACATCTTGACTCCTCCTTGCGAGGGCATCTCCTGTGCACAGCCCTCTTCAGATCATCCCACAGATTTTCGATTGGATTCAGTCTGGGCTCTGGCTGGGCCTTTCCAAAACTTTAATCTTCTTCTGGTGAAGCCATTCTTTTGTTGATTTGGATGTATGCTTTGGGTCGGTGTCATGCTGAAAGATGAAGTTTCTCTTCATGTTCAGCTTTCTAGCAGAAGCCTGAAGGTTTTGTGCCAATATTGACTGGTATTTGGAACTGTTCATAATTCCCTCTACCTTGACTAAGGCTCCAGTTCCAGCTGAAGAAAAACAGCCCCAAAGCATGATGCTGCCACCACCATGAGTATGGTGTTCTTTTGGTGATGCACAGTGTTGTTTGCGCACCAAACATATCTTTTGTAATTTTGGCCAAAAGTTTAACCTTGGTTTCATCAGAACACATTTTCCCACATGCTTTTGGGAGACTTCAGATGTGTTTTTGCAAAATTTAGCCAGGCTTGAATGTTTTTCTTCCTAAGAAAAGGCTTCCATCTTGCCACTCTACCCCATAGCCCAGACATATGAAGAATATGGGTGATTGTTATCAGGTGTACCACACTGCCAGTACTTGCCAGATATTCCTGCAGTTCCTTTAATGTTGCTGTAGGCTTGGCAGCCTCCCAGACCAGTTTTCTTCTCGTCTTTTCATCAATTTTGGAGGGATGTCCAGTTCCTGATAATGTCACTGTTGTGCCATATTTTCTCCACTTGATTATGACTGTCTTCACTGTGTTCCATGGTATATCTAATGCCTTGGAATGTCTTTTGTACCCTTCTCCTGACTGATGCCTTTCAACAATGAGATCCCTCTGATGCTTTGGAAGCTCTCTACTGACCATGGCTTTTGCTGTAGAATGGGACTAAAAAAATGTCAGGAAAAGACCTACTAGATCAGCTGAACTTTATTTGGGACTAATCAGAGGCACTTTAAATGATGGCAGGTGTGTACTGACTCCTATTTTTTTTTTTTTTTTAAATCAGATCTTTTTTTATTTATTAATTGATGTATGGATCCATGTACAGATATAATCAGACAACCACAATCTCCAACGGAGTGTAGCCTTAGTATCAACAAGTTACGGTACATTGTTATAATATAAAAGGGGTACAAAGTAATTTATACCAAGGATATAACCATAGATTCCAGACCACAACATTTTCCAGATCCTTTTTTGAAAAAGAGAAATAAAAAAAAAAATAAAAAAACCCAATTTCAAAATAGGCTGGGAAAAAACAGAAGGAAATTAAAACAGCATGAGTTATAAATCAAAATAATTTTTAACAATTTGACAACAAAAACAAGAACTAAAAACCAGTCTTCTTTGAACTGAACTCCGAGAGTCAAACCTCCTCAGCTCATCCACGTGCAATATAGTAAATAAAGAGTCTGATCCAACTTTTTGCCAATAGTAGAGTTTTACCATATGGATACATCTATATCTCAATTCCTGTTCAAGGGTTGATGGAAGGATAGTTATCTCACAGTAAACCCAATGGGGTTCCACTGCTTAAAAGCCTGTCCTTAACTAATTGTATTGGTACTAATCCCGGTGTGCCCAACCAGGCATCCCAGACTTTTGTAAATTTCTGTGCACATCCTCTATGCTGGTAAACTAGTATTTCTCTAATCAGAGTATCATTGACCGCTTTAATTCGTTAAGCATGGGAAGGAGGTGAAGGTGATAACCCATTCTGAGCTATAAGTTTCCGAGCAATAAACAGCACTCTAAGGATAGCTATGTAGACATGTGGAGTAAACAGCTTGGGATCTAATGGTACAGTAAGATTCCAAATCTTATTGATCATTGTTATAACATGGGACCAATATCTTACCAATTTGGGACATTTCCAAAGCATATGGATAAGCGTACCATTATGAATTTTATATCTAGGGCAAAGGGGAGAGTCTCTCCTGTTCCAAGCATATAGTCACTGAGGAGTGCGATAAGTGCGGTGGATAATAAAGAGCTGGGTAAACTTCTGAGCTGGGGGCAAGGAGACTTTAATTACATTTTCTAATATGGTGGACCACTCCTTGTTGGAAATAGTGTCTAAGTCAGTCGACCATTGTGTTCTACAATTAAGGGACATTGTCTTAGAAACTTTGAGCATAATGGATCGGTAAATCAAAGATATTTGACCCCTTCTTGTGGTTGAAACTATAGTTTGATTAAGTATTACCAGTTCAGTAAATATCCATGAAGAGGCTTTAGATTGTGCAGTAATGGCATGTCTAAGCTGTAGGTACTGGAAAAAGAATTGCTTAGGCAAATCATATTCAAGCTGTAAAGCACAGAAATCTTTCAGTAATTGACCATTATATAATTGTGGTATATATCTAACTCCCATCATCATCGACCCAGAAAAGCCCTGCACCTT